TCTCGTCAACACTCTTGATGACGCTAGGAAAAAAGAGCTACTCGCGTTCGTCACCGTCCTCAAACGGTGGCGCCACTTTCTTCTCGGCCGTCGGCGTTTTAAATGGAATACGGATAACAATCCGTTGACATTTTACAAAACGCAGGACACGGTCACTAGTACGATCGGTCGATGGATGTATTACATCGACCAGTTCGATTTTGACCCGTGTCACATTCCCGGTACCGCCAATCGAGTTGCGGACGCCCTCTCACGACGGCCCGACTTTTGTGCCATTGTGACCACGRCATTCGACCTCGATGACGATCTGCAACAGCATTTCGTCAAAGGCTACAAGTCTGATCCGACTTACTCTATGCTTTACGCAGAGCTTTCATCGGATCACCCACCGGCTAGCCATTATCGGATTTCCGACGGGTTCCTTCTCCTTCACATGAGAGGAAAGGACTTGTTAGTTGTGCCCCAAGATCGTATCTTACGGACTCGTCTTCTCGGCGAATTCCACGATGCACGACTTTCGACACACCTTGGCGTGAACCGCACACTCGCACGCCTCCGCCAGCATTTTCACTGGCCTGACGTTCTTTACGACGTCACGAGGTACATTGAGTCATGTGCAGTTTGCCACCGTAACAAGGGTCGATCTCGAGTCCCCTTCGGCGAACTGAAACCGTTGCCGATCCCTCGGGCACCACGCCTCTCCATTGCTTGGACGTGACGGGACCGTTTCCCCGCGATCACCACGGCCATGACGGTATTCTCACGGTCGTTGACCGTTTGAGTAAATATGCTCGCTTTCTTCCTTGCAAGTATCATGCTGCAGCGCCTGAGCTCGCACGACTCTTGCACACCGGTTGGATTACCAACCAAGGTGTTCCGGAAGACATAGTGAGCGACCGAGACACTCGCTTCATGTCAGCCTTTTGGACTTCTCTCATTGACGGAGTCCGGCATGACAATGAAGCCGAGCTCGGCTCGGCACCCGCAGACGGATGGTCAGACGGAGCGAGCGCACCACACCGCTCAGATGATGTTGCGTACGCTCATCCGTCCCGACCAGAAAGATTGGGTTGACCGGCTTCTCGACATCGAGTTCGCCTACAACACTTCGGTGCACCCGGCGATCTGCGTCACACCATTCGAGCTACATCATGGTGGAGAGAAAGCACGGATCTTCGCTGATCTCCTTTTGCCACAGGTTGCCGACATAGACGTCCCTTGATCTCCCGCTTCTGTCAGGAAGTATCGGGACTTGTTGATAAAAGCCCGCGCGAATATGCAAAAGGCTCAGGTCCGCATGCAGCAACAAGCTAACCGATGTTGACTTCCATGTCCTTTCCGCGAGGGAGACCTTGTTTGGGTCCTCTCCGAGGAATTTGCGCTCGAGCAGGATGTTTCGCGCAAACTCCTTCCGAAATGGTTCGGACCATGGGAAGTCACTTCTGCCGTTGGAGACGACCCCGCCGGTCCTTCCTTCGTGATCAGCATTCCACCGCACCTAACAGTACATCGGGTCTTCCATGCATCGAAGTTGGCCATCTACATGCCACCTCCAGCTGACGAATTCCCCGGACGTCGATCACAGGATCCGCCTTCYATGGACGGACATCAGGAAGTTGACCGAGTCATCABGCACCGCAAGTATGGCAACAAGCCAAGGCAGTACAAGGTCACATTCAAGCAATGTGCGCCTGATGCCACTCGGTGGATCTCCAGTGAAGATTTGCAGACTTCTGCACCCCTCATCTTCGCAGACTATGAGAAGCGACGCCTTGCTAAGGACGCAGCTCGTCCCGCCCGACCCACCCCGGTATCGGACAGACAACTTCGCCCTCGCAGGTAGCTCGGACTTTTAAGAGGGGGAGTGTGTTACATCATCGACTCACACGGGTCCTACCGGACCCGACTTAGGGCCGGAGGGAC